AAGGGATCACAGATTGATTATATTTATTAGAGTATGTGATTATCTATACTGTATGAGGCAAGAAGGGATCACAGATTGATTATATTTATTAGAGTATGTGATTATCTATACTCTATGAGGCAAGAAGGGATCACAGATTGATTATATTTATTAGAGTATGTGATTATCTATACTGTATGAGGATAACAACAGGGTGAATGAAACCTTGTGCATTTATCATGCAATGCAAAAAAAAAAATGTGTAAAGCCTAAATACATGTCCCTTGTTTGATTAACAAGTTCAGCATGTTCCACCATTCTGATTTGTCTGGGAAATAATTTCACCCTCTTCATTGTTGTTTGTTCTGTAACAAATTCACTTCCTGTCCTTTAGCATAGTACTAAAATGGCAAAGTCTCCAAAGCATGCTTAAATTTTTTTTATCTTTGCTTAAGAACCTAACAAACAATGTTTTTTTTCTTCCCATTTTGCATAAAAACTAGTGTTATGTAGATACAAAACAGTAAAAACTATTTTTAAAAAATCACAAGAATAAGAAGCAATGGTGCTGCGGGTTCTTTAATTTGAAATTCGTATATAAATATAAGATCACCATGTGACAGTGAGTAAACAAAAACCTCAAAACATTGTACAGTAAAAGTTATTGCTGTTCGTTTTTATCATTATTATAACACTAATGACTATCTACACCACTTACCAGTACAGCTATCTGTGTGATGACGTGAAGAGCCTTGTCTTCATGCAATTAGCATTGAAATAACAAAGCTTGAGATAGTGCAGTGGGAATAATTACCCATATACAAATACTGTTATATTAATAACTTGTACTGTAAACATACTGTTTTTACATTCACAAGAAACTCGTATTCATAGTACAGTTAAATAAGTTTATCGGCATAACTCATGACTCACTTGGTTAATTAACATGGCAGCGGTATCACAAACTACGTATGCCGAGCCTTATAATTCTGTTATTTAACAATCGTCTGTTTAATATCGAAAATCGCGAAACTGTTTCCATGACAACATTAAATTAGTACAAATTTTTGAAATCGTTAATTCTTTTGTCATATATGTATATGAAGGTGTATTTTAATAAACTTTAAATCTGAATCAAACCTTTCTCGGTAACAATTATTTGTGGACTCGACAAGTGTAGTCTGTTTTTAGTTGGCATTTCCAAAAGTTACCAACTACGCTGTTGCAGTGTGTTGTAGAGTAGAATTGTAACAACATATAGAGTGGTTGTTCTCTCTTTAAGAGTTTTATATTACCTGAGGTGCTGTACAAATAGGTACAAATAAACGTGTTTTCATCAGTGTTATTGGATTTCTTGTTTCTCTGTAAATGTACTAATGGTTAGATTTGTTATAAAACTTTTCGTTTGTTTTTTAAAGTTCTCATAAAACTACACGAGAGCTGTCTGCGCTAGCTGATCCTAATTTAACAGCTAGTCAACACTATCCACTATCGGGCTACTCTTTTACCAACGAATAGTTGGATTGACCGTAACATTATAAACGCTTCTACGGCTAAAAAGACGAGCATATTCGGCGATTTGGATTCGAACCCGCGACCCGCAGGTTGTGAGCAGAGCGCCCTAACCAGTTATAAAACGGACATTGTGAAAGCCCAGTTACTGTTTCATATACAACGAAGTTAATTTTGTAACAAAAAAAAAAAGGAAGAAAAAAACGCACAATAAAAATGTTAACAATTTTAATTTCATCAAGAACAAAGAGAATACACTAATGTGAACCCCTTCTCCTAATGTTTGATAAGTTTATATTTATTACGTACACTAATTTGTTGGGCTCGTTCACGAACATTTCTAGCTCTCCCGGCTGTTGAAGAATTAATATGCATGTGTATTTAAAGGTGTGTAAATAACCATTGTCTTAGTACTTCCTTTTTTTTTCTGTTTCCAGAAAGGCGTAGTTTTTTCTATGCCGTTGGTTAACCAGTTGGTTCCCTCTAGCGTTCAGCATCTTTGATTACTTCGTTAGTCATAAATGAAATCTGCTCACCAGTGAACAGCACCTTGACAGACTTGTAAGCCTCACAGTTCACGAGTTAACGCCTCCTTGGATTGTTAACCTTGCGAGAGCATCTTAAACATTTGAACTTTTGCAATTTCAAAATTCTCAAATTTTTTATTAATTTTTTAAATTCTGTTTGACACGTGTTCTGAGATGTGACTATATCTGTTTGTTTGTTTTTGAATTTCGTGCAAAGCTACACGAGAGCAATCTGCGCTAGCCGTCCCTAATTTAGCAGTGTAAGACTAGAGGGAAGGCAGCTAGTCAACCCACCGCCAACTCTTGGGCTGCTCTTTTACCAATTTTTTACTATCTTACGGATTGACCGTCACATTATAACGCCCCCAGCGGCTAAAAGGGCGAGCATGATGGTGTGACGGGAATTCGAACCCGCGATCCTCAGATTGCGAGTCGAGCGCCCTAACCACCTGGCCATGCCGGGCCATTTGATTTATATATTGTTGCGT